CCTGCTTAAATGCGGTATGGCATGGCCCTCTCCTGCTTTCGCATCTGGATTCAACGGTACAGTACACACCTCGCAAAATAGGCCGGCTGGCGTCAAGACCGCTCAATGCGCATGACTCTTTGCGACTCTTTGATACCCGTGTGACTGCCGCGTGTGCCAAGACCGCTGGTATCAGAGTATGTGACGGTACAACCAGAGGGCCCAAGTGGTTCCTCCGGCCGCCATCCAGCTCAGCAGCGAGACATGAAAGCGTCACCACATCTCGACTGTGCGGTCCCGAAACACTGCGGAAAGCACACCCACTCCCTCAGCGCGTCTCATGATGGACGCCAAGCATCATGGGTGTGAATGTGCGCGTTGCCTCTTGTTTGCGAAGTTTCGTGAGCGCAGGCGTTACCCCTAAGTCGCATGCGGCGGAGCGTGCCACCGTATGCCTGTCAAACTCGGCAAGATGGCTGGCTTCGCAAATTTGAAGCATTCTTACAGCGTCGAGCTAAGCTCCGTGAGGGTGACATACATGAGCTCGAAGCACTCTCAGGGTTCACGACACTATTGTGAAGGATCTATCGAGCGCCGGACGCCTATGAGCATGGCTATGCGACCAGAGCATGGCGAAGCGCACGTGAAGCGGCCTTGAGAACGACAAAGCGGCTACGGTCGCTCCCAAGAGACCTACACATCAATGACGTCCACAGACGCCAAGGAGTCAGCCGGCGCTCCACCAACGAAGGGCAAGAATAATCCATAATGAGGCTCTGTGCACTCACCTTTCTGAGTTCTGGATTTGCGTAGTATGTACCCTGACCCTTTCTGCTGACTTTCTTGATCCAACCAGGAGGCAAAGGCGGACTCTCCTCTCTATCCGCGAGCGCAGACGCCGCCGACGCTGCCGACTTTTTCTTTGGCTTCGCTATTGGTGTGGAAGTCGATGGCGAGCCCGAAATATCTGAGGCTGCGCTTTTCCTAGCTTTCTTTGCTGCCGGAGTGCCGCTTGCGGATGTGTGTCCAGCGCCTTTCGATGAGCTGCGAGCACCTTCAGCATCCGTTGTGCTTGATTTTCTGCCGCTAGGTCGACCGCGCTTGCGCTTCTCGACAGACCCGTTGCCCTCGCCGTTTGACTCCGAATTGGCCTCTTCATCGTCATCAGCTGCGCGACCGAGATTCCACTCGTTCTTGATGTAATTGCGCAACAGGATGCGGGCCGTTTCCTCGCATTCTCGCACGGCTTGGTCTCGATCCATTTTTGGTGTTTCTGCCGCAACCGTCTTAAGATGACCAGGCAAGAGTCCTGCCAAACTCAACGAGACCTGATCGAGCACACACGACAGGGTCAGGGCTGCACAATGAATCCGCGTGCTCGCTTCAAGACGGAGCACTCACAGTGTACGGGGCCGTCGCCTCCCGCGATGGCGCTTGAAGAGGCACCTCCCGCTGCTCCAAAACCTTGCGGGGATGAGGCTCGGAGGGCGCATAGCTCGTCCACAGGCGGCCCGCGATCTGGCTGAGTGGGCATTCAACCTCGATGCTGCCTTGATTCACGCGTTGCAAGGTGAAGCCCTCTGGAAGAATACCAGACGGCGGAAGCTAGGCGCAGCGGGCAGAATGGCGGCGTTGAGCTCTCGAAGCGGGAGGATTTCGCCACTAGCTGGCTCTGACGACTCACTTTGGATGGAAGCTCGACGAGGAAAGGTCGAACGGGTATGACGTACGTACTCCGTGCCACAGGGCCCAGTGTTGACGTCGGCGCCATGTGACTCTCGAGTTGAAGCTTCTTTGCTTCCTCCTCTTCCATGACCTGGTACAGGTCGCCGGCGATACGATATTCTGTAGGCTCCTCCCCTGCGTCGTCAGCTGCAGCTGAGTTATCCCGAATGCCTTGCGCCGCTGCTCTTTCCTCTTCTTCGGCCGCTGCGTTCACCTCTGCTGCCGAGAGCTTCACCTTCTTTTTCCCGGGCGTGAAAATGGCTTTGATGCGCATCACGAATGGGACATTGACATTTGAGGACACACCTGGCATCTTCTCATTGGGACCCATGTCGTGTAGCAGCTTCTTGATCTGTGCCGCGCTCAAGTTCAGGCGTACCGTGTCGCCTACCCAGATCCTCTCGGGCCCAAAAAGAACACCTTGATAGTAGAGGTTGTTGTCCACTTCTGGAACAGACTGGTGTGGTGCGGTAGGAACATCACCGCCAGGCGCAGCATCGCCAGCACCGGCAGCTGGACTACCGCCTTCTCCGTTCTGGTTCGCTCCATTCTGAGCCCCACTCCGCTCTTTCGAAGTGTCAGGTACATTTGAGACACGGTGCGTTGTCGGCGCAGGAAATCCCCAAGAATCTCGTTTGAAGCTGTCCGTAGGGGTGAATGTAGAACGAATGAGAGACGCGATTCGCAGCCCGTGAGCAAATGCCGAGACAATGGTAACGAAGTTTGGTCTAGTCTCAATTGTTGCCGGCATGGCATTTGGATCTGGAAGGGGCCACAACCGATGACAAAGCAAAGGTGAGCAGCCACATCGCGAGCGCACAGGTCTTGGGAACTACACGAGCATCTCGCTGACAGGACGTTCAGCTCACCTGGGAAGAGATGAAGGGGAGGCGGCAATTCGTCCTCGAGCCACGGAAGCTCTGCAGGGTCGACCTTCAACCATTGCGTGAGCTCTCCCACGACATTGAATGCTAACAAAGGTATCAGGTCTTCCTCTTTCACTCTTGCCTGTGTTGAACAGAGGTTGGAGTGCTTGCGTTAGCTACAGAGCGCGCTCGAACTCGACACACTCTACCTTACAAACTCATTAGTCCCAAGGACCTTGACTAGGTAGGCTGGAGCATGAGACACTCTACCCGTGAGATCGAAGCTGCCCGGAACTTCACCGACATCGGGAGCCACGTTCACGTCAAAGTCCTTCCTGTCGATAGTGACGATAAGATGAGTTACGCGGGTTGTGGGGTCCTTATTGGGTGCCTCGACGGGTTCGGGTAAGGCGGCCCAACACATTTCGCCAGCTCTGAAGCCTTCTCTTTGACCTCGTTGAGGGGTCCCGCGGGCCAGCTCAGCCTCGCGCTCTGGAGCGGAATGGATAGGTACGCCGGGGAGGTGATCGCGTTTGACAAGGCGGCGAGTACGAATGTAAGCTTCGTTTGGCTTGGGTGCACCGACCTGGAGGTGCGAGGGTATTGGCACAGACGTCAGCTCTGCTCTAGCTAAGGAGGGCCGTGATGAGGCAGCAGACGTACACTTTGCCTCTTGCCCGTTGCGCCTTTTCGATCATTGCCTTTCGAGGTCCGAGGTGCGGCAGCTTTCGTCGCCTTGGGCCCTTTGGGCATGTAGCTGGCAGAGGTCTTGGGCTCGGTACCTTTGCTCTTGCAGTATTTGCACGAGCAATTTCGCGGATCCATGGTAGGATCCAGCAAGAGGAGGATGAAGTGTGCGTGGCTCTCTACGGCGCTGCGGAAACGATGCGCTTTTGAGCCGAACAAGTACGGATCCGTACGCGGGCTGACCTGCAGACCCTTGCGCTGCTCTGTCATCTCGTAGTGCTTAGGAAAGCGCCCGATGAACCACTTTGTGCCCTGCGGTGGTTCTGTGCCAGGAAGATTGAAGTCTGTAGATCAGGCGCAGCACGTACACACAAATCGCCAATGCTGTCTGATGATCTGGCCAACGCCTACTCACTGGCCGGTAGACCAAACTCCTGAGCTAAAAAGCTGCCGATCTTGCTTCCCCAGTCTCTTTCCCCAGTTGCTCGATCTCCCCAGCCTGAAAGCAGCGGCAATTTCAGGGAGCAAACGTCAGTCGTGCTCGCGCAGCTGTCGCACTACGTGTCCATAAGCATGCCACGCCGCCCATTCGTGAATACTGACTGTGGTAGTAATTAACTTCCGAATCTGTCGCCTTGGGAAGGGCCGTGTTTGGCGGACCATACTCAGGATCTCCATCGGATCTAGGAAAGACGATCTCTCCATTGGGTCTGAAGATGTTCTGGTCGCTAGCAACGTCGGCTCTGTCGAGCAATGGTCCAGGCGCAGTCGCGCCGCGCTTCGCACTTCCGGCTGTGGCTGGCACATTCGACGAGGCTGCGCTGGTAGTAACTTCAGAGACGCCTGTTACCGTGCGGGCAGAGTGACCTGGACTCGCAGCTGCACCGGATGCTGACGGGCGCGTTGATGCCTCTGTAGACGCGGTTTGAGCCTGGGCAGGCGAATCCCAGGGCGCAGAGGTGCTAGCTTGACCTGCATTGGTATCAGTCGACATTGTTGCTGACTCAACTAGCGAAGGAGGTTGGACCGATGTCTACTTGCGAAAGAGCTTACTGCAAGGTTGTGGTGGGACGGGAGAAGTGGTCGACCAGTCTGCATGAGATCTTACGGGTACCGCACAGGTGCTTCGACTGGTGCGACTGTTGTACGCGCGACTCACAGCAATGCGGCAGGGAGCCAGCGCCGCGGCCGTAATGTGAAGCACTCCGCGTGACTCGTCTCGACGACCGCTGCTGCTGCTGGCTTTCGCGCGGGGCTGCTGTGGCGATGTCTCAGTCAGAGTGCTGGTAGATGTTCGATGTGATGCAGGGGCGTGACACGGTCGATGCTCCATGGGGCTTGACTCATCCAGCCGCAGCCGCTGATGCTCTTGCTAAATGTATCGCGCTACAAATGTCACACGATGCTGGGATGGCGTACATGTATGCTGGTGGTTTTGAGACGGACCATGCAGTGCACCTGTAAACCGGTCGTCCGCGGACGATCGAGTCTTCACTACTCTGCTGCTGCTGCTGCGTTTGCGCGCTCAAGACATCGTGCACGACGCGTTCGGTGTCCGGTAGCTTATAACACGTGACCCTCAATGATTCGCCGCGGAGCTCCGCCAAAACGACGCGCGACGCGTTGCGTCAATTCGTGATTAAAGTTCGCGTCCAAGCGACTCGTATATCAATCACAATCGTGAACACTAGAGTCACGACCGCGCGATCGTGAATGAACGCGTTCAGGTTGCCAACTACTCGCCTCTCACAAATTGCCTCTTGTCGTCGTCATCTTGCACACCTTTGCAACGTTGTAGTCCTTCGCCTGCTTGATGGCTACACGGGCCACCTGCGGCCGGAGCTTTGCATCGCGGAAACAAAGCCAAACAGCATTATCGACTTGCTGAATAGCGCAAGCAACCACCACACACGACAATCTCTGCTTCTTCCTGCAAGCCATCATGGACTCGGAGAGCGACATCGAGCTGATGGAAGAGTACGACCTGGAGGCGACGTCTGAAGGCACCGGTTCGTCGGAAGCTGACTCGGAGATGGAACGGGGAGGTCGACGCGCTTTCCAGCTGAACAAAGACGCCCACCGCTCTGGAAGTGAAGAGCTAGAAGGTGATGAAGACGATGAGAGGGAGGCAGGAGATGAGCAGTATGCGGCATTGAGAGCAACGGTTGTAGATATCGTCTCTGCCATTGGAGGCCTGGAAGAGACCGACACGCCGGATGGCATTCGTCTGGTCTACATCGTTGGCGATGACGTCTTGCGTAAGTGCCTTTGCATTCGCAAGCAGCGCCCGCCCAGTGCACTTCTCACGCTGTGACGTCTTTACTTTCCATGGCTTTCTTATGTCGCTGGCCGCAGGCTGTCTTCGAGACTTGCGACAGCTCTGGCGTCAGGACGAAGACGATCCTTCGCGCCTAATTCCTCGAGTTTACGCCGAGCTCAATGTGCTGCAAGGGGGCCTGCTGCCACTACTGCTCAAGGCGGTCGAGCTCGGGGGACGAGGCATGAAAATTGCTTTGGCTTGCGGTGAGCTTTTGCGTGGCGCACGCTTGATCACGCCGGCAGTCGGATGGCGAGATGCTGATCTTGCGTAGGATGCCTCTGCGCAGTGGATCTGATCACAACTTTGACATGGCCTGTGGACGCAATGGCCGAATTGAGAGCGGCGAAGGAGCAAGACGAAGACGATCATCGCATAGCTGAGCTCTCAAAGATCATCATCTTGGAGCGCGCTTTGCAGCGCTACAAGGGTGACATACTCATCACACGCCTTGGCGAGTCTCATGGCTCGAAACGTGATGTGCTCTCCACGATCATGATGCACGTGCTCCTGCCAGCCCTTTCCAAGCCTCGTCCAAACCGCACTGACAGAGACACTGGCACGATCAGCATGTGCATGCACCTCTTCCGGAATCTGCTGGCTATCAGAGATCCCCAAGCTACAGCTTTGAGCAGTGCTGACGTCATCGCGGCTGCCAGAACCCAGAGCGACCTAATCGTATCTATGCACTCGGCACACATCCTGGACGCCATACTCACCATGGCTAGTGGAGCAGAAACGCGAGATCTCGAGCCTTGGAGTAGCGTTGCCGGGGAATGCATTTACCACATCTACTCGGGCTCTCGACCTGCAGCATTGGTCGGCGACCTTTCAGGCATTGCGCCCGAGTCGACTGAAGCTGGGGCTGCTGCCTCAGTACTGTCGCGGAGGCCCCCGCTCACCTCTCTCGACGTGAGCACAGCTCATAGCAGCTCATTGTGCACGGCCTCCCACTGACTCAGAAACCTGCTTCGATTGACAGAACAAATCTATGCGGCCATCTGCGCTTGCCTCTTCCTTGGATGGCGAGGCCCGTCAGAAGAAGTCGCAGTTGCTAGCAACCGCAAATACACGTCACTCTCGCTTTGGAACTGCGATCAACTTCACAGGCTCAGACGGCCAGCGAAGAGTATCACGACAGCAGAACGCGTTTCGCAAAACGGCTGACGAACTTATGACCGAGACGTTGCTGAAGTACAAGCGCAAAGTCCGTAGACGCAAGAATGCTAATGAGCAGGGAGCGCCGCGTCACAAGTCCGAGTGGACCAAGCATGCGAAAGCGGTTCTGCTCGTATGGACAGAAAAGTTCTTTAGAATGGGATTCGAGCGTAAGTGAAGTCGCGTTCTCCCGGGGCGGAGACAGCATGCAGCGATGACCGCTTACAATCCTGTCAACGTCTGCTTACACAGCGCTCACGCGTGCTGTGCTCAAGGACATTCGACGCGAAAGTGCCAAGGTCGGCAACATTGAAGAGGCGCGTGTCCGAGCCATGGAGATGTCCGTCTTCTTCTTGGATTACTTCTTGATGCAATACTCGGCAGAGGCGCTACGATCACGCGAACGTAAAGACCGCGAGAAGGGCATGCGAGCAGCAGACAAAGGCAAAGGCCGCGCTGTGGACACCGACGAGGATGCTCAGCAAGAAGAGGTCCACAATCACGAGGCGCAGACAGATGATGGAAAAGGTCACGCAGGAACTTGGGACTTCGGCCAAATCTCCTTTTGGCTTGAACACTGGTCTTTCAAGATGGCAACCTTGCGCGCCGAAAGCTCACTCGAGAAGCGTGAATGGCTGGAGTACGTGACTGCCGTCCAGCTTTGGACGTGCCTTTTACGTACGGTGGACGCCATGTCTCGAAGCTCGAGCGAGCATCAAAGAGACCTGGCCGAAGGTCTGCAAACGCAACTCTATTACGAGAGTAGCACGTTGGCGCTCAGCCAGACAATCATGCGGAGCTACAAATCCGCAAGAAGCTTTGCTTGTCTTGAAGCGACTGTTGCGTTTGCGTACACAATGCCGCGCATGCTGGAGCGCTACTCCTCCGACAAAGATAACCTCTACGTGAGGGCGAAATCGCGCGTGGCAAAGGCTAAAGCTCGTGCGGCACAAGGGGAAGCAGATGATCAGGAGGTCGCGGATTTGGAGAAGTCAGCGAAAGACCATGCTGAAGTCGTCTACAAAGAACGACGCTTCGAGTTTGACAAGTACCAGTCGCATATGTGCGCATCTGAAGTGGCAGCTGCCGCCGTTGACTATCTGAGCAGATGGCGCGACTTCGAAGCGCCACAGGAGCAGCTCTCGGCGGTCATCGGGGTGATCCACCGGATTGCCATTCGTGCGGCGAAGGTACAGCTTTTCTATCCATTCTTCCATCGTCAGACACTGCGGACTCTTTCAGAGGGGCCAATGCTGCCGGCTTTGGAGGGCAAAGCACCTAGTGCAGTCAAAGATGCTCGCAAGATGATCCAATACATCATGCACAAGTTTGACAAGCTCTCTGCAGAGGAGAAGCAGCACTACGAGATGGACAAGACGCCACCCAAGCCTGTGAAAGAGCGCAAGATGAAGCGAGAAATCGCCATCACACCTTCCCAGGGACATATCGAAGACATTCGAATCGCCGTATCCCTCCTACTTGAGCTGAACAAGATTCGCACCGTCAATTGGATTAGGGAAGGGTTGGAATTTGCAAGTTCTGAGCGCGCACAGATCATCCGGGATGCGGAAGCCGAAGATTATTCAACGGAGCAACCAACTCTCGAGACGCTAACTAAGTTTGCTGACTTCCGTGAGTAGTGGAGAGCGAAATACCTACGCTGCTTAAAGAGGTCGTTGAACGCAAGCAAGCATCACGTATTTCATCAGGCATGCAATACCCCAATGAAGACGTCGCGAATGACGCAACTTATCTGCCGGAAGCCAAAATGCTGTGTCGTCTCGTAGGTCTGTCCAGTGATGATGGCGAAATAGGAGGATGGCGCTGGTGGGTGCCTGCAAGCCTCTTGCCATCCGATCTAGATCAGGACGCCAACTACATCGACGAAGGAATTCGCTTCCGATTTGATACTGGAGGACTTCCCCTCCGATCGTTTGTCAAACTTGTGCCCAAGCCGCGCGCTCCTCGGCAAGCACGTGGCAATAGATCAGGGTTTTCAGATGAGGAGGGCTCGCATGACGATGCTAGAAGAGCGAGCAGCGTCATTGCGACAAGCGACGAAGAGGGCGGGGATGCGTCGACCTCAAGAAAGCACGCGATCCAGAAGTCTCGAGAGGCTGCCAGCGCTCGCAGACGCACTCGAGGCGGATCAGGTCAGCCTCGCAAGAAGAATAGACTACCTGCATGGACAAGGGGCGATTTCATCGAGGACTCGGACGAGGAAATGGAGGCGGTTGCGAGGCTCATCGCTCAGCGCGACGCTTCGAACGCTCAGTCGGGCAGCCTTGGCAACCATGCTTCCGATGCTGAAGAACATGGAACGGAGCAAGGTGGGACCATACGGCGAGTACGAAGCACCAACAGCGACATCGACGATGCGTCAGACAGCGATGAAGCTGGATCACCGCGGCGGCATCTTCACAGGCGCGACTCCTCAAATTCGAGCGGCCGTAGCAAGTCTGGCTCCACCCCAGCTACAAGCTCACCGGCTGCGGAAATATCTGGACTTGTCCGCAAATCAGGCAGTTCAAGTCAACACGGTGACAGATCCAGTGGATCGAATGCGAGGAATGGTAACGGTCTTTTCCTAGGGCCAGAGGAGAGCGATGTTGAAATGCAAGGCCAAGAGACGGACGAGGAGTCGGTGTCGGCGCTTCAAATGGGTAGCACTGCATCGCGCAAGACTGCCAGCAAGCGGGGAGCTTTGCTGGACAGCGAAGATGAACAGGCGGACAGCTCGCTCGAAAAAGCAACCGGAAGATTGTCGGTCTCGCCGATCAAGACGCAAGCTCATGCCAAACGTAGACGCGCTATCATCGAATCGGAGGATGACGAGTAGTGCTTTGAAAGCCGGCATGGCCGACCCCGAGACAAGTTGCACCATTTCTCATACATGGCTTTGACCCAGCGCTTGCCCATCATGCTGGTGCTAATGCGCTCTTTTCACCCTGACATGACTTTTTTGCAATGTGACATTCCACTTGATTTGATGTTTCAAGAGCGCGCCGATAAGAGATTGAGTACATGTGTAGTATGCCCTCGTGGATATAAGGTTTTCGGATGCCGAACGGCATTATTGTACCACGCCCACCCGAGCGGTGGATGCCCTGCATTCAGCGCTCCAGAGGATCGGCGTTCGCGGGTCTTCGAGCGCAGTAGAGATGGGCCCAGTATGCCGGTGGGGAGGTGCGTGAGATGAGAAGAGTGGGCAAAGTCGAGGGCCCAAGCGCATTGACGAATGTCCCACATTCAACACCTCTACTGCTTCTTGACAACATCCTTAGTAGGCGTGCCCCACACATTCTCCTCCACTACCTTCTTCGTCTCGCCGCCCGCGAGGAAAGCGAAGTAAATGCTACGGACGGCCGTGTCCAAGGGCAGGAACATACCTACCCGCTTTTGGTAGTCGGCATACGCAGGGTACTTGCCCGCTGACACGCTCTCCGAATAGATGGTGGAAGCGAAGAAGAGAATGTTCATCAGAAGAGGGGAGATTAGAGCGTACGTTGCAGTGTAGCGCAACACGCTCGTGGCAGGAGACGAAGGCAGGAATGTGAGGGGAACGTAGAGGTAAAGAATCCACCTGGAAAAAGGGGGGGGGTTCAAATGTGAAACGCGTCAAAAGGGTGGGTCACAACCCAGGGCAATGACTTGGGCTTTGCTCTGTATGCTCACCATGTCGTCTGTTCGCAGGCAAAGTTGGGATGTCTGGAGAAGGCCCAGAGACCCTTTGTGACGAAACCTCTTTGAGCATCTTGGGGTGTGTAAGGACCGCTCGTGATGCCCTTTGCTGCAGATACGGTACCATCCTGTGCAAGAGGACCTTTGCTTGCACTTGGCTTTACGAGACTGGACTTTCCATCTTTGCTAGCATTGAGCGACTTGCCGTACTTGTCCTTGCCCCGCTTGAAGTTTTGATACTCCCACTGCTGCTGGTCCGCAAAGAATTGAATGACCAGGTTCAGAACGAGGAGAGCGGCGATAGCCCAATCGCCTACACCGAGCGAGGAAGGAGGATTCGGCAGAGGGCTATTCTTGAATTTGCCGCTGGTGGCGGTGAGGATGAGGTAAGAGGGAGCGGCGGTCAAGGCCAGCAAGATGTTTTGAGCGATGGCGATGAATGTCAGGGTGAAGATCTCCCAAGCGACGCGAGACATGCTTGCCCTCAGCAAAGGCCACCTGTAATCCTCTTCTCCCTTCTTGAACATTCCTCTGCGGACGGCATTGAAGGTGAGACGAGCTGACCAGAGCACTTGCAATCCGAAGATTAACAACAAGCGGGGCTCGATCAGATCGAATGCCGAGACTGGCGCTGCGGACTTTTGGAAAAAGCTGGTGACCGGGGATGGAGGTTGGAGCCAGTGGCCGATGGCACGTTGAAATGTAAAGTGGAAAGTGTAGATCACTGCGTGTTCCAAGCCAGCAGCAAGGCAAGTAAGCGGTCAAGGCGAATCGCGTTACTTTCCTCATCCAACAACTGCCGTCTGCTGGACGGTGTGCTACCGACTGGCGAGAGCGACTCACCTGGCAAAAAGGTCCACAGACCGTCCACCTGACTGGCGTTGCCAGTGATTTCCTGCATGACGTAGCAGTAGGTGCTAAAAGCCGCGCAGATGACCACGGCCGAGTGCAGCGGGTCTGCCGTAGCGTACCATTTCGACTGAACGGCAGGAGAGAAGAAGGAGAGCGCAGAGGGAAAGTGCGCTGTGAAGGAGGACCAAAAGTTGGCGAGGGCTGGGATGGCCACTTCGTTGATGTCCAACGCTGGATGGGGCGGTGTGAGCACCATGTTGAATGCGTTCGCCTGCTGTGGTCGCTCAAGGCGGCGTTGAATGCGCGTGTGTGAGAAGCGTGGTTGTGGGTCAGGAGCCAATGAGGATGAGTCTCTCGACGACCATGAAAGTCTTTAGTGCGACACAACCTACAGCGAGCGCTCTTGGAGCATGGATGCTTTGCTTGCCAACATGGCCTCATCTTGGAGCCGCGCGTTAGTCACAGCCTGCAGCTACAGCTGTCGAGAGGAGAGCTTCCGATCATCGGCTGCATGCGAAGCATCGCCCACAATTCAGCGACTTTGCTGACCTGCATGGCTGCTACGCGTAACCTCTCTTGCCTGCTGCCTGTCATGGCGGTGCTGCTGCATGTGTGTGCAGCTCGTCGCGACTCGATGACGGTCAACCGCCGTCG